ACCAATCGCCACCTGTTGGCAGCAGCCGTCTGGCGGCATGTGGTGGCAGAGGAGAGTGAGGTGGGGTGGAGGCTCCCACACCGTCTTCAGAAGCTCATGTGGATGTGGGGGCAGTGAGTCTCAAAAAGGTTCTCTTCAAAGGACTGTGGGGAGCACCAGACCGAGCCTGTTGTCTTAGGTGAGCAGCTGTCACACTTTAGTGGGCAAGAATCAGCTGGAGAGTTTAGGAAACTTGCAGATTTCTGGGCCCCACCCAGCCCCACATAATCCAAATGTCTGAAGGGGCCCCCAGCATTTGCATTTCATGTACCCCATAGCCGTGGACCACATTCCCGGGTGCTGTCCACCTCTGCTGAGCTGCTGGGCATCAGTGGAGAAAAGCACTGGCTGGCACCTGGTGTGGGGTGCGCTCCCTTACTTGACCTTGAGGCCTCGAGCATGTCACTTCTCCTCTCGGGGTCTCTTAATTCCAAAACTGGGACAACCACAGAACCTGTCCCAGAGGCTTGTTCTGAGGATTAGGATTAAAAGCGAATTGAGCATTTAGTTTAATCTAAATGCACATCAAGCTTTCTGCCCAGTGCAGGAGACATTTGCAATCCTGGATCCATGTTGACTGTCCTTGACATCTAGCAGGGAAGAGGAAGAAGAAAGGAGCCATACTGGGTTATAAAGCCCCATTTTACTCCTCACTCCCTACCAGTGGTGGCAACTGTGGAAAGAAGGAGATAGTAGCATCTGTCAGTGCTAAAAAAAGATCCATCCACTTAAGCACTTGGCCCATGAGTCAGCCCACTTTGTTTGTCTATCACCCACAGCCATTGTCAGGCACCTGCTAGGGGCTCTGGCCCACAGAAGACACAGGCATGCCTTGCTTCAGGTCCCATCCCCCAAGGAACCTGTAGTCTGGTGGAGGCCTGTATTAGTCTGTTCTGACATTGCTTTAAAGAACTGCCTAATACTGGGTAATTTATAAAGGAAAGAGCTTTAATTGACTTAGTTCCACATGGCTTGGGAGGCCTCAGGAAACTTGCAATCATGGCAGAAAGGGAAGCAAGAACCTTCTTCACATGGTGGAAGAGAGAGAAAAGAGTCAGCAGGAGCAGGGAAAACTGTCTTATAAAACCATCAGATCTCATGAGAACTCATTCATTATCACAAGAACAGTGTGGGGAAAACTGCCCCCATGATCCACCTGGTCTCTCTCTCTACACATGGGGATTACAGGAATTACAATTGGGATGAGATTTGGGTGGGGACACAGAGCCACACCATATCCTGTCAGAGGTAAGGACGCCTGGAAATGTACCACACAGCGTATGTCGCAAGTGCCGCCTGAGTGCCTGAAACAAAACGCTGCAGGATGCCAAGCGGGGCTCAGAGTTCCTGGCATTACAGTTTGGATTAAAGGCTGGGCAGAAGGATTTCCATGGGCAGAGATAGTAGAGAATGGGAAAGAACTAGTTTATAATAAAAGAAATGGGCTGGAATCAGGCTGCCAAGCTGGCAGTCCACTTCTGCAACTTCTCAGCTGAGTACTGGTGGGCAAGTTCCTCAAACTCTTTGAGCCTCAGCTTCCTCATTTGTAAAATGGGGATCATGACAGTATATATGTCACAGAATTATTAGGAGAATTTTAATAGGTAAACTAAGTGGTAGGTAAGGGTCTGGCACATAGTAGGTGCTCCATAAATGTGAGCCTTCATCAACATCACTCATCAAAATGTATCTTTGCGACACTGCACCAGGGACCCCGGGTACATCGTTGACCTTCTTCAGATGGTGTGAGGAGCAAGAGGGATGAGGCTGCTGTCAGAATCAGCCCTTGTGGGCCCCCCAGCCTGTGCTTAGGCCTAGCGTGACACCCCTACTCAGAGACAACGCCCTGTGTCTCCTGGGCAATCTTCACCCTGCAGAGCCATTGAGGGGAGGGGAGGGCTGAATAGTGTGGCCACCACTTTTGAGTCTTTTGTGATTTGGTTCATCTTGAATCCCACTGAGCTGGATTTTCAGAAACAGGGCTTCTGACCCTGTATTATCAGTGGAGTGACTTTCAACAAGTTACTTAAATTTTTTGAAATTCAATTTCCTCATCTAGGAAGTGGGAATAATGATAGAGCAAATCTAAAAAGTAGATGTGAAGATTAAATGTGACAACTGACAAGTAAATGTGTGGCACAGTGCCCGCCGCATGGAAGCCTTGGTAAAGCTACCATCTGGGTGACCGTGAGGCTGCTCACTCAGCATCTGTTGTCCTGGTCTCCACCATCCACAGGTGGACCCAAACTCCCACACAGAGCAAGCAGCCACAATGAATCATAAAACAAATAACTATCCTTCAATTAGCTAGTTACAAGCGTTCTTTCTTTTGTGTGTTTTTTTGAGGCAGTCCTTACTCTGTCACCCAGGCTGAAGTGTAGTGGCACAATCTTGGCTCACTGCAGCCTCCACTTCCTGGGTTCAAGTGATTCTCGTGCTTTAGTCTCCCAAGTAGCTGGGATTACAGGGGCCCACCACCATATCCAGCTCTTTTTTTTTTTTTTTTTGTATTTTTAGTAGAGACAGGATTTCACCACATTGGCCAGGCTGGTCTCAAACGCCTGATCTCAGGTGATCTGCCCACCTCCGCCTCCCAAAGTGCTGGGATTACAAGCATGAGCCACCACACCCAGCCTAGTTACAAGGATTCCAAAGAGAATATTTTCAGCCATTCTAATCTTGCAGTTAAACTTGCCTGAATTGTGAATTATGTTAATTATCTTCTAACTATTCCCCCTCTTGAGATTCAGGAATCTTGGGGGACACTTGAATAATCTCCTGAAAGAGGAGTACAGAATCCCCTTCTAAGCCCACATAACCAGGGCTGCCTTCATTGCCTGCCATGCCTCTGCTTCACTGCCAGCTCTGCTCATTAATACAAAGTATTAGTGGTCCCAGCAGTTCCACTGGTAGGAATTTATTCTACTGATATGCTCACCTAGGTGTGCAAGGATATGCATGAGGAGGTTCATTCCCCCAGTTGCCACCTCTCAACAGGGATATAAATATAAAATGGTCATTTTCAACAAATGTCACCAGCAGTGCTCTGGCCAGTTCCTCTTTCTTGCTGGGGCAGGGACACCTTTAATGACACCTATGTCTGATTTATAGAACTTTCCAGTCACTTTTTGGTTATGCCTGCTTATTTTTTTTTTCTTTTTTAAATTTTTTTTGTATTTGTAGTACAGACAGGGTTTCACAGTGTTAGCCAGACTGGTCTCAATCTCCTGACCTTGTGATCCACCCGTCTCGGCCCCACAAAGTGCTGGGATTACAGGAGTGAGGCACCGCACCTGGCCATGCCTGCCTATTTTACAATGTCAATCTCGTAGTCAATTCAAAGCTTCCCCTGCCCAAGGCATAGGATGGGTTTGTGGTGCTGGAGCTGGGAGGGGGACAGAGAAGGAGGATGGGGCTGCTCTGCCAGTGGCCTGGTGTCCCACAAGGACAAGGAACTTGCATGATTGCCCATATGAGGTGGTTAACCCCTTCTGTTGGTCATTGCCTCTGATTTCCCTGTGGCTGCTGGTGATACCAACAGGCCCTATTGATGAGGGGATCATATTCAAGCAGCACCCACTCCCACGAGGCATGGGCGGGCCCTTCCCACTCTCAGCTTCATTTTCAGGTTGGCTCCCAACAGCCGCTGCCCCAGCAAATGAGCAGCCTCCGATCCATCATCCTTCCTTAACCCCTGACTCAGAGGCCTGCAGGCAAGACTGGGATCCATTTTCTCCTGCCCCTGCAAAAGGAAAGGAACCCAGGGTGGGGTCCAGTGCTCTTGTCTGCCTGGTCTGCCACACCGGTATGCCATCTCCCATTCAACAACCTGTAGGGGAGTGATATGGTTTGGCTGTGTCCCCACCCAAATCTCATCTTGAATTGAAGTTCCCATAATCCCCACACGTCATGGGAGGAACCCAGTGGGAGGTCATTGAATCATGGGGCTGGTTTCCCCCAGGCTATTCTGCTGATAGTTAAGTTTTCACGAAATCTGATGGTTTTATAAGGGTCTTCCCCCTTCGCTTGGTTCTCATCTTCTCTTTCCTGCCGCCATGTGAAGAAGGACACATTTGCTTCTCCTTCTGCCATGATTGTAAGTTTCCTGAGGCCTCCCCAGCCCTGCAGAACTGTGAGACAATTAAACCTCTTTCCTTTATAAATTATCCAGTCTTGGGTATGTCCTTACAGCAGCATGAGAACAGGCTAATATAGGGAGAGAGGGGAAGAGTATGCACACTGCTACTTCAGCCACTACCTCCCTAAACAAGGCCAAAGAAATAAAACACTCCTCAGTAGAGGCTGGATAAATTGCAACCACCATTTATAGTCGATAACAAGAGTCAGGTGCCCTCTCTGTGCAAGTATGGCCCCTGCACCATGATATACTGCTAGGTGAAAAAGGAGCAAGGCCCACAGTGTGATGTGCAGTGTAGGCCCATCTGTGTACCCAGCAAAAGAGCAGATGCATGCAGTCCCACAGCCAGGAATATTGTGTGTGGCAGTGGTACATTTCCAGAAGGCCATATGGGAAAGTACTCACTTTGGTCACCTCTGGGAGTGGAAACAGAGAGAACAGAAGGCTGGAGACCTGATGTTCTTTATTTGCTCCCCATCAGTATAGCATTGTCTGAGTTTGTACCTTGAGCACGTTGTGCTTGCACCAATGAATGACTCACCTCTTTTGAAAAAATAACAGGGAAGATGTCCCTCTTCTAGACCACCTGACTCAGGCTTTTCACTTCCCCTCATAACCCTGTTTACAGGGTAGGTGAGTTTTTGCTTTATTTCTAAGGAGTCCAGCCAGGGGCCCTGTTCTCCAGTGTATCCTAAGCTCGGGCATGCAAAGTCCCAGAGGCATGCAGCCTTGGTGTCTTGGGGATGACAGATTCCAACACTTGGGCCCCTAAATCAAAGCCCCCAACATCCCGCAGTCACCTGTGGCTTTTGGTTTTCCACAGATCACAAAGGCATCAAGGAAGAGGCTCACGGTGAGCCTGGCCTATTCGGAGGACCACCAGATCCGCGTGTCCCAGCAGGACTTCCGGCTGTTCCGCACACTCTTCCTGCTCATGATCTCCTTCTTCATCATGTGGAGCCCCATCATCATCACCATCCTCCTCATCCTGATCCAGAACTTCAAGCAGGACCTGGTCATCTGGCCGTCCCTCTTCTTCTGGGTGGTGGCCTTCACATTTGCTAACTCGGCCCTAAACCCCATCCTCTACAACATGACACTGTGTAGGAATGAGTGGAAGAAAATTTTCTGCTGCTTCTGGTTCCCAGAAAAGGGAGCCATTTTAACAGACACATCTGTCAAAAGAAATGACTTGTCAGTTATTTCCAGCTAACTAGTTTTTCTTTATAGGCTGAGTTTCTCATACCTGGCAAGCTGTGGCATGCTTTTAAACAGAATTCATTTCCAGGACCCTCCACCAGCGTACCCTGCTTTAAGAAAATGAACCTATGCAAATAAACATCTACAGCATCGGCAAATTAAGGGATGATCATCCAGTTTCACAATAAAATTCCTTTATAAAAGGATTTGTTAACTGAGTGCGGTGGCTTACACCTGTAATCCCAGCACTTTGGGAAGCTGAGGCAGGTGGATCACCTGAGGTCAGGAGTTTGAGACCAACCTGACCAACATGGTGAAACCATGTCTCTACCAAAAATAGCTGGGCGTGGTGGTGGGCATCTGTAATCCCAGCTACTTGGGAGGTTGAGGCAGGAGAATCGCTTGAACCTGGGAGGCAGAGGTTGCAGTGAGCCAAGATTGTGCCATTGCACTCCAACCAGGGCAACAAGAGCGAAACTCTGTCTAAAAAAAAAAAAGGATTTGTTATGGGTTCCTTTTAAATGTGAACTTTTTAAGTGTGTTTGTAATATGATCGAATTTAATAAATATTTGTTTATGACTGTTCAGCAATCACATCTCCTACATATAAAGCCACACCATAGTGGCTTCTGAAGTGAGTCTTAAAACTGATTCAGGATGTAGATTTCTCCTATGAAGGGTCACAGACACCCTATTCCCTACCTTGGACTTGTAAGCCTTTAGGATCATTCATTAACGTCAAGAGCAATTGAAGAATTTTCAAGGAACAATTAAAGGCGACTTACTTTTTTTTCATCTATAAAAAATGCCAAAAAAAAAAAAAATGCCATGGGCCCTTTTAAGAGAATCAGTGTCATGAAATCAGAGAGAAAGTAGAATGACTCTGAAATGTGTGAGAGTGAGTTCAGGAGTGGTTCGCTCCTGATCCATCCAGCAGAGATGCCTCTTAAGTGCCAGTGGTGGCAGACAGTATTCTTTGTGCTGGGAATACAGTGGTGAACCAGACAGCTGTGGGCCTCTCTCGGAGCTTACCTTCAAGTCAGGGGCAGAAAAACTAAATAAAAGTCAATAAATTATATCTATATACAGATATATAGATGTATTTGAGATGAGAGTCTTGCTCCAATGCCCAGGCTGGAGTGCAATGGCACGATCATGACTCACTGCAGCCTCAAATGCCTTGGCTCAAGCAGTCTGCCTGCCTCAGCCTCCCAAGTAGCTGGGATTACAAGCAGGAGCCGCCATGCCTGGCTACAAAGCAATACACAGTATAGCATCACAGAGTGACTAAGCACCGTGAAGAAAATGGGACGGGGGCTGTGGGAGTGATGGGAATTTAGATCAGGTGGAGAGGGGCCTAAGAAGACCTTTCTGAGGAGTGACATTTGGATCAAAAGGTAAGCGACAAGAAAGGGCAACCATGTGAATCGGGGGAACAGGCTTGGCAGAAGAAGAAGTGTTAGTGCGAGGAGGCTGACATGCTTGAAGTGAGGGTGGTGTAAGACTCTTGATGGCGCCTCCTCTGCACCTGGTGCTGCCTTTAATACCCAGCTGGGGCCTGTCAGCTGAGGTCAGAAAAAGTACAGGGCTAGATCACATAGGGCCTAGGAGTTTATTCTGTGCTCCAAGCCCCTGGGAGTTTGCAACTGGAGACTGGCATGACCTAATGAATGTGTGCCAATATTACCCTGGCTGCTGTGCAGGGAATAGACTTTGAGGAGCATGAGTGAAAATGGAGACCAGCTAGGCAGCTGCTGAAGTGGAACAAGGGGATGGGATGTTGGAGGTGAGGCATCAGGGAGGGACTGTGAGAAATGACTTGTAAATATGCTTTGGAAAGGTAAAACAAAGGTGATTTATTGATGGAAAGGATGGAATTGATAGAATGTGAGGGAAAGAAAGGGTTCAAGGGTAATACCCTGATAGTTTAGCCTGCCATTGGTTGGATGGTGAAGGAGGCAATAAAAATGGGGGAGCCTGGGAATAGATTAGGGGTGGGGAAGCCAAGAGTTTCATGTGGAGCTCATAAGTTTGAAATCCCAGTGAGCTGTCCAAATTGAATAGGCAGTTGGATGCAGAGAGATGTGGAGCTTAGGGCTGGAGATATTATTTGGAGATATAAATGGTGTTTACAGGCCTATGGTTTTATAAAATACCCCTCGGAGAGATAGAGAGAAACAAGAGCCAAAGATTGAACCCAGGGACACTCCACCACCAATGGCTGGAATGCACAGCAGCGCAGGGCCTTCGTGCTGAGGAGATCGGCACCAGCAGCTGTGACTGCTTGTGCAGTTTCTGGAGCAGCTTGCTTCTGAAGTCAGATTCATGGCAATCACAAGCCCAAGGACAAATGAACAGAGATGTTTGCTCACTTTATTTAATAGATTTGATCAATTAAACCTGTTTCTGGATGTGATGTCTGGCTGTCTTATTGAAGTGGCATCGCCATCTAGGATGGATACCCCGGGTTCGTCATCTTGCGCCAAAAGGATTAAGGACATGGACATACGTGGGTGGGTTAAGGAGCAGAAAATTTAATAGGCAGAAGAAAGGAGAGAGGAGAGCAGCTCTTTCTCGGGAAACAGAGGCATATGAAAAGGGAAACGCAGCAGACCACAGCACGTTTTACAGGCGGGCTTGAGAAGGTAGAGTCTGATTTACATAGGGCTCACAGATTGGTTTGACCAGGTGTGACATTTACATAGGGCGCTAGGAAGGCTGGTAGCCCCACCCAAATCTTATTATGCAAAAAGGATTTCCAGCCGCCATTTTGAACATGCCTAGTCCCAGGTAGTGCATTCCTGTGGGTAAAACTGCTGGCCTTCACCCATGCAAGCTTCCAACTTCCTTGTCTATGTCTGCAGCTCGATTTTACAGGCTACTGTTTGTTAGAAAAGAAAATGATTTGGGAGCTGCTTTTCATTAAAAGGAAAACCTTACCAAGGACTTCTCTACCCTCACTATCTGCCTAATAAGTATTTTCTTTTTGACTCCTATATCATTATGGTTCTCTGAGGCTGTCAAACTGAAGCTGTGGAGCAAGGCTCTGACAGCCTGTGGTTCCGTGAGAGTGGAAGGCAAAGCTCTCCCATGCACATCACTTGACTCCTCTGTCTTTGGTGGAGAACACTATCACGGGGCACCCAGGAGCCTTCCATGGTCTCTGGATATCCCAACACCCAGGCAGATATCTGTGACCCTTTCCTCACTCCCAGTGCATTTTATAGACATCAGCCTGGCATCACCAGCTTCAGGGCTTCCCAGAGAGCTAACAGACATTGCCTAATTGAATCCTCACTGCAGCCCATCAGGCAAGGACTATTTTCCCATAACTCCCAAGAAAAGAGGGTGGCTCAGAGAAGCCTTGTAACCAGCCCCAAATCCACAGCTAATATGTATATATTTGAACCAGATTTGTGCTTAAACCAAGACCCCCTGGTACCAAAGCCTTGCTGTTTTTTTCAAGGTGAAAAATGGAGGCCCCTGGGAACCCCTGGAAAACTGAGGAAAGTGGCCTTGCATGCGGTCATACACTAGGGTTCCCACATGCTGCTAGTTGTGCAGGACACTGGTGATCTGTCCCAGGCCCTCTACTTAACCCCCACCAAGACCCTCCTTGCACCCCAGGGAGGGGGTGTTCTGATCTTTCCTATAGAATGGGATTTTCCCAGAGCTCACCTTGTCCCCTGCGGGTCAGCCTCTGAAACCCAGCGTGGGTGAGCTGCCAGCAGCCCACCTCATAGGCCTAGGGCTGACTGAGGCCATGGTTTCGCTGTCCTGGCCTCTCTACTCACTTCTGCTTTTGGTACCAGTGCTTTGGCCAGGCTGGTAGGTAAGGCTTTCCTAGGTTAAAGAGGGAACCCCCTTTTCAGGAAGTTGGGAGAAGCCGGTATTTAATAATGGAGATTATGCACTAGAAGAGGCCAAAGATCAGAAAGAGCCATGTGCTCCTGGTATAAAGAAACGCACCCCACCCATCCACCTGCAACAGAAACATAAACACAAATGAAAACTCAAACCATAGGACACAGGTAACTGTATTTTAATGAATCAGAGTCTGGAATCCTAAGCCTCAGAAACTTTCAGGAAAGATAGACATTTGCCTGCAAGTAGATTCACTGACCCCCACATGTATCTTTATGTGTAATGAAGGTTTTATGGGAACTGAGGGGAAACAGGGAGAGAAGGGCAAATTACACTCCTAAGATAAATAGAGTTGAAGACTGAGAGCTAATCAGAAGTTCAGATGAAATTAGATTCTTGAAGGTGCTACAAAAGGTTTCTTTCTGATTTGCCATCACAGTAACCTGGAATATACAAAACAAAGCCATTAACAATGGAAAGTGGACCCAGTTTTTATGTAGACAATGAAGATCACGATGCCCTTGGAGCTGGCTTCATTCAAATGCTTCTTTTTTTTTTTTTTTTTTTTTTTAAGTGGGAGACTTGCTCTGTTGCCTAGGCCAGAGTGCAATGGTGTGATCTCAGCTCACTGCAACCTCTGCCTCCTGGGTTCAAGTGATTCTCCTGCTTCAGCCTCCCGAGTACCTGGGATTACAGGCTCCCACCACCATATTCAGCACATTTTTGTATTTTTAGTAGAGATGGGTTTCACCATGTTGGCCAGGCTGTTCTCAAACTCCTGACCTCAGGAGCCACTTGCCTCGGCTTCCCAAAGTGCTGGGATTACAGGCGCAAGCCACTGCACCCGGTCTCAAATGCTTCTTAATTCAAATGCATCAGCAGATTGCAACCCTTAAGGTTAGAGGTGGTTGTAATTCATAAACACCTTCAAGGCCGTTTCTGAAACCCACTGAATTTCTCTGGACATAATGGGGGTGGAGAGAATAAGACCTGCTGGATGAACAGGACTTCCTTTGATATTTCTTTTAAATCAGCCTTAGTGCATTTCAAAGTGTCGGGGGCCCCTCCTCTGATTTCAGGGAGTGGGGTCTAAGGCAGCCTGATCTGGGACACACTGGTGATGGGTTTATAAAGTGTTTCCATGTCTTATGTCATGTGTCACCAGATGGTGTGGCACAAGGGACTTCAGAGTCACAGAACTCTAGGTTTGCATCCAACTAAGCCACATATGAAAGATTTAGGGCAACTTTCTTCATCGCTGTCAGCCTATTTTCTCATCTGTACAATGCACATAATCTACTTCCTAAGGTACCCTGCTGTGGTGGAATCCTTGCTGGCCCTACATTTAATCCACCCCCAGGGGGAAGCTTCAAAATCAATTTGATTTTGGTCTGAGTTCTCATTTGTTTGGTGTAGTGGGTCAGTTCATGACCATCTGAAATGCTCCGTTTAATTTAATTTTTTTTTTTTTTTTTTAGGCGGAATCTTGCTCTGTCGCCCAGGCTGGAGTGCAGTGGCACGATCTCAACTCACTGCAGCCTCTGCCTCCTGGATTCAAGTCATTCTCCTGCCTCAGCCTCCTGAGTAGTTGGGATTATAGGTGCCCGCCACCATGCCCAGTTAATTTTTGTATTTTTAGTAGAGATGGGGTTTTGTCATGTTGGCCAGGCTGGTCTGAAACTCCTGACCTCAAGTGATCTGCCTGCCTCAGCCTCCCAAAGTGCTGGGATTACAGGTGTGAGCCACCACGCCTGGCCCATTTTGTTAATTTTTTTCTACATTTTACCATTATTCTATTTGGATTTTGAAACCCAGTAGCCCATAGAAGTGAGTGAGTGTCCATTCAAACAAAATGGGCTCTTCCTCCACAATGTTTCTGGTTTTTAAATCAAGATCAGTTAAGGGTAATATCTCCTAAAAGATCCTATGGTTGTTCCAGAGAATCTTGGAAAACCCAAGCGAGAAAACCTAGCTAGTCAATGCAATGGGTATTTGGTTTCATACAGAAAAAAAACTGTGTCTTGAAATCATTCCTTTTGGAGCTTACTATGTTGATGCTGTGGAGTTTTTATATCCATGGCCACATAAGCTGCCCACTTTTTTACTGGGCAACTCAATCCCAAACAATCTTAATTCAGTCAAAATGTTTTTTGGGGGCAGCATAGCCAGAGGTGATCACAGAAATGACCTGAGGAAGCAGAAGAAAAGGAAAAGACTGCCCACTGCAGTGTTAGTGCCGGGGAACTGGACAAAGGCCTTGCCCATGCCTGCACGAGCCCTGTGAGGAGGCCAGTGAAAAATCTGGCCAAGAAGGATCAGGATTTGGCCTCAGAAAGGGGCTCCCAAGACCCCGTGTTTTCTCCAGGATACAGATGAAATGAATTTCACTAGCACGTGGGCCGAAACTCCAAACCGACTACCCTGCAGGGAGAGCCAGAAGGCACCCTGCTCCCGACTCACCGTTGTGGACGATCAGCCTGTACTGCCTGGCCAGGCACAGCTCCTCCTGCCGCTGCCTTATGATCCTCTGTGCTTCCGGGGGCAGGCCGTTGGGGTCACGGGAAAACACGAAGGAGTAGCTGTCAGCACAGGTGCCGTCGAGGTTCAGGAGGCGGCAGGAGTACTGCACGGCATACGTGTCGTAGTCCGTGTCGACGATCCAGTGGTCATCATCTGCAAGCCAGAAAGCCACCGTGCCCATCAATGCCTCTCCCTCAGGGGCTCAGATGTCAGAGAAACTCATGACAAGCCTGAGAACACAGTGATTCCAGAAGCTGGTTTTATTTCCTTAGGAAGCAGGACACTTCAGAGAATTCTGACAGCTTTCACACAATTCGGCAAAACGGAAAGGATCTTGTTCTCCTTTATTGAAGAAAATCTGGGAGTCAGGGAAGCCTCATTCACCTCAATAATCATCGCTCCCTGTGACTATGTCACTGTAAATGTGACAGCATTTTTCCAAAGAACCACTAAGAATGCGGGCTCATCAAAACCACAGAATAAACCTTTCTACTGTTGCTTCACCATGTACTCTCCAATAATACCTGTGTCTTTTGTGGCTCCTGTTTGATGGCCACCAACTTACGTTACTCCCAATATTGGCTTACATCTTTCTCGATCTCTATCAGCTGTCTCCTAATCAACCCACTAACCGTGCTGCCCCCTGCCCTCTCAGTCCGCTGGAGGATGCCACTCCCATGTCATGGCTTCTCTGGCTCCATCCTAATTTTGCTTACTAATGCTACTCGCTTCTTTGTGCTGCCAAAGAGTGGGTTTTGTCTTGAGGACTCAAGATGCTCACCACGTGGCATCAGCCATTTCTTCTTAGACCTTGTCCTCTTCACAACTCACAGAGGCAGAGCTGAGCCACTGAATTTAGCATACATGCATTCCTCAAGACTGAAATGTAAGCCATGAAGAGCAAGAGTAAATGAAGGAAATAAAAGTATCAATGAAGGCAGGAGAGGAAAGAACGTTAATTAGAGCGTATGTGTGGCCGGATGCTGTGGTTCATGCTTGTAATCCCAGCACTTTGGGAGGCTGAGGCGGGAGGATAACTTGAGGCCAGGAGTTTGAGAGCGGCCTGGGCAACATAGTGAGAACTGGTCTCTATAAAAAATGAAAAAAACTAGCCAGGTGGGGTGGCGTGCATCTGTGGTCCCTGCTACTGGGGGGGGGGTTGAGGGGGGAGGATTGCTTTGAGTCCAGGAGGTCAAGGCTATAGAGAGCTAGGTTTGCCCCACTGCACTCCAGCCTGAGTGAGAGTGAGACTCTGTCTTAAAAAAAAAAAGAAAGAAAAAAAGAATGTGAGTGACTTGCCACAGCGAAAAAACAGTGTTACCCTATATTCAGAGGAAAGTGCCACATCTCTACTTAATTTCGCCTTCATGTTGACATAATACCATGACTGGGACTTTCTGAGCACTTAATTACATGCCAGTCACCGTATGGACACTTCTTATTTCTCTTCTCAGTTACCTCTCACATTGACCCAAAAGTGCACACTATCATCCCCTACTTTACAGGTGAGCAAACTGAGGCACAGAGAGACTTAATAATTCACCTAGGGTCACAAAGAGCAGGGCAGAACTGGGATTCAAGCAAGAGAGTGTGATTCCAGAACCCACATGCTTCACCTCGACACCACGCTGTCTCCAGACGATAAGTAAACTGGCGGGAAAGGGGCAAGAAATAAAAGGCTTTGTGTCTCCATCTCATGCTCAGTGTTGTGGCAAGGGGTGATGCTCCCTCTGTAGCGTTCCGGTTTGAGGAGCACAGAGGGAGCCAGAGTCCCCAGCGTTAGAGGGTGTAGGGCCATATGGAATGCTCGCCCTAAGTCACCTCTGGGTGTACCTCTCTGAGAACCCCTGGAGTGCCAGCCTAGGATGGGGTTAAGCCCAAACCCAGGATCTGCAGGGGGGCTGTCCCAGGGGTGGGTATGGAGCCCCTCTCTTCAACTCAGCCTAGGCCTGCCAGGAGGAGAATGAGCCAGTCCTGTGCCTTGAGGCTTTTCCAGGGTGACAGTGTCAGAGGCGGGGCTGAGGAGATGTCCCAGAACCATGACTGCTCAGCAGGGACCATACAGTTATTCAGCAGAAAGACCAGGAACAGAAGGCACGGGGCTGCCTGCTGGGCCTCACCCTAACCACTGACTCCCCCCACAGGCTCCAAAGTCTCTGGGTGGTCTTCCTCACCCCTGGACGAAGTCATTCCTTCCCTGGTTATAAGGATCACCATGTCTGTCACAGGCACCCTCAGACACAAAATCACTTGCCTTTGAAATGTGACCTCGATTCATCATCCAGGCAGCTATTAGCTGGGCAGATCCGCAGCTTGACTTTTTTTTTTTTTTCCAAAATGGTCGCCAGCATGTAAATTTTGACAGAGGAATTAAGTAACTTTCTGTGTTTGGATTTAGTAAAATTGGCTACTGTTCTTGACTTTAAAAGAAGGCCTAAGTTGGTTTGGTTAATCTCCAGGCTCTTTTGGCTGAATAATTCAAAGATGAAGAATTTAAATCAGAGCAACTTTGACCAGGGTCTCCCTTTTAAGAGTATTTGCAAGAGGTGAACTGCCAGAGCACTGTGAGAATGAGGCTGGTTCTCCAGCCTCCTCACACCCGGCAGCTGGGCAGGTTTCCTCTGGAGAACCAGACACCGCAGCCGTTTCCAGACTGCAGCTAACCGCATGCCGTGGAGCTAGGGACAGGGAGCACTGGAAGCAGTGGCTGTGTGGCTGGGAGCCCCTGCCAACCCTCTACCATCCTAGGAAGCAGGGTCACGCTGTAGCTGCATCTGCACCCTACCTACAGAGACTGTTTGGAAGGCCAGTGCAAAACCAAAGAAAATGCTTGGTAGAGGGTGCTGTCTCGGGCAACCTGGTTCTACTGGTCTGTTGCTCACTGCCGTGTGCCTGGAACAGGTCTTTTCAGCTTGCTAGACCTACACGCTCCAATCATCTAAAGCAGCAAGACCAGGTAAGAAGCTCCCTGTGCTACTCAGGCCTAACGGTCCAGCCAGGAAACAGATTTAACGCTACTTCTGATGAATCGTAAAATACCCCAACAGGCCCCAGCAAAGTGAGTGGAGTCTGAGGCCTTGATACCCAAGTAAGCCAAGATAACTCTTCGGATTGAATCATCTAGACTAGTGGTTCTCAAACTTCATTGTGCAGAAAGAGCATACCCAAAGAGCATACTTAAAATGCAGACTCCAGGGCCCTGTCCTTAGAGTGTCTGACTCAATAATTTTGGGTTTGAGTTCAGAAATGTGCATTTTTAAACAAGCGCACTACTTTATTTAGATATAGATGGTCCAGGAACCCTGACTTTGAGAAACACTAATGTAAACCTTCAGGCCTGCATTGTTATTCAGCCTGACAAGAGCCCCTTTGCCAGCAGAGTGACAGGCTTTATCTGACAGGACAAAAAGAGAGTCTTTGTCCATGTCTTTCTGTGAGAGCACAAAACAATGAACGATCATAGCTAATATTTATTGAGCACTTACTATGCACCAGGCTAAGCATTTTCACACATTACCTTAATTAGTCCTTCCAATGATTCTATGAAATAGGAACGATTCCTCCTCTCCATTTCATAGCAAAGGAAGTCAAATCTCAGGAAGGCTAGCCTGTATTCAACCAAGACCTGCTGATGGTAGTATCCTCAACCCCTGAGACCCTGAGATATCCTGCTTGCTGCTGGTGGAGCCAGAAGGGAAGACCAGTAATAAGCATGCCCAAGGCTCGAGCAGCAGGCCACATCAGTTTGCTAACACTGGCATTTCATGTTCAACTGTAGAGACTGAGCACATTTAATTTTAAAATAATTTGACAACACATTTCATGATCATTTGGCCCTGAGTTATTTTCTCTTCATAAATGCACCTCATCTTAAACACATCCATTTGGTGAGATGCAGTGTGTGGAGCAGGGAAGAGACTGAGGGTGCAGGCCACTCTCAGAGTGACCTTCACATCCTTCTGTCCAAGTCAGTGTTTAAACAAGAGCAAGGTCAGGGAAGAAACTGGCACGCAGAGTTTGTAAAGAGGACCCCAAAACAATTATGTTAAACAGAGCAAGGGAGATGCATCAAGCCATGCAGTTTGCAAGATACTCAGAAAACAAGGGATCCTTTGTGCCTTTTTGCAAGCCCTGGGTTAAGAGATGTCACTAAGTGCCAAAAATTCGCCATGTGCCCCTAGGCCTGTCACTTCTCTATGGGCCCCAGTTTCTTCACTTCTAAAACAAGAGACTTGAACCCAATGGTCTCCATGGCTCCTCCCATTCTAGACCCAGAATCTAAAGCTATGATTTTAAGACCAGAGAGGTAACTAAGCAGCCATCATATCAAACACTTACAAAGAACTCATGTCTGAGTGCTTTCCGCCTATTAACTCATTGCATCTTGTAACAGAACTCCATGAGGTAGGTTCTAGGATCATTTCACTTTGCAGATGAGGAAATAGGCACAGAAAAGTTAGGAAATATATCCAACATGTAGTGGCGGAGTTGGGATGTGAACTCGGGAGGTCTAGTTTTAATCGGGCGGGCTTAACTACAACACTGCACAGCTTCTTTTTTGAAATGTAACCTAAGAAGGAATTTATCCTTAAGCCTTCCATATTCTAGTCATCTCAATATCTGTCGCAATCACTTTCAAGAGTACAATACTTTTTCCCCCTCCCAGTGAAATCCTAGATAAAATACCAACATATAAGAGGCTAAAGCAAACTAATCTGGTTTGATAGGGGGAGGAGGCAAGAAAGAAAATGCTCCCTTCTCATTGGGTCCTCTCTGACCTATCCCTAAAGGCACTGCCAACAGCATCCTAGTCCATTAGGGAGCACATCTCAAAATGCTGTAGAGCATATGTCTTTTTTCTTTCTAAAAATTAGCAATCTTGTACCTCATATTGATTTTTGTAATCCATTATCAGAAAAGTATATTTTACTCTAAGTGACTCACTTTGGGAAGTTTTGCTACACTATTTGAAATAACTTTATTAATTCCAAGGATAATAAAATGAAAATAAAGCTTCTAAGCTTTTTCTCTACCAGGTATGGTGGCTCACACTTGTAATCCCAGAAATTTGGGAGGCCGAGATGGGAGGTTGGCTTGAGCCCAGGAGATCAAGACCAGCTTGGGCAACCTGGGAGACCTTGACTCTACAAAAAATACAAAAATTAGCAAAGCATGGTAGCCCACCCCTATAGTTGCAGCTGAGGTGGGAGGATTGCTTGAGCCCAGGAGGTTGAGGCTGCAGTGAGCCATGACGGCACCACTTCACTCCAGCCTGGCGACAGAGCTAGACTCCCTCCATCTCAAAAAAGAAAAAAAATTAAAAATTAAATTTCATCCAACACACAACTTTAGAGGAAGTCCAAGAGTGTGTGCCATGGTTGGAGAGCAATGAGTTACAATAAAGGACACTTGTGCCCTGGATCACTGAGCAAAGAGTCTCCTTCAACAACCTTTGGTCCTATCTCACAGAAGAGCTCAAACAACACTTCGCAAAGCTGGTCTGATTAGTCCTTGTAGTTCAGGACCACCCAGTCCTGGCCTGAGATTTGGAAGCCCGGCTTCTGACAAGACATTGACTCTAAAAAACTCGTTGCATGTCCTTGGGCAAAGTTCTCTTGGCCTCAGTTTATTCATCTGTATATTGAACCCCCTCCAAAAGGTTAACTCTCCCTCTGTAAGATTCCATGATCGGTCTCCCCTGGCCTGCATTATTCTCTAGCTATCAAGTAGATTCCAGATTTGAAACTTAGGATAAATGGGGGAAAAAATGGTCAAAAGAGCATGTAGACACTGTTTTCTCACAATTAGGCCAAATGTAGGATCTTCTAGGAGCCCTCAACATCGCCCCCATCCACATCTGAATGTCACAGCTTAGGGGAAAGGGAGGAGGCCAATGCCACAGAACACTGTGCCTGGCTCAGAATCTCAGCATCGGCAGGACAGGCACCTGGGAGGCATCCATCCCTCTATGCACAGTGCCCCCTGCATCCTTGGATGGGGCTCTCTGGGTCTCTGCGGGAGCCCAGGTAGTCAGGCTGTCTCAGATATGCAGCCCAGAGAGACGGAGGAGACAGAGGTGGTGACGGGGAAGGCAGGAGGAGAAAGCATGGAGAAGGCACACACCTTGGCACAGTGGCTGCTGGAGAACATGACACCTGACAAACCAAAAGGTCCTTCTGAACTTAGGCCAGGTTTCTCGAGCTGAGGGTTGGGAAGGGGGCAGATAGGTACCCCCAATTTTGTTCCCCTAACCTCAGGCGGTGCTGCGGGTTCCTGCCATTTCCAGACCTTTCCACAGGCCATTCTTCCTCACGGTAGGTAGCACTGGAGAAGCCAAGCGATTTGGCTCTGCAGGGCCCCCATTCCCCCATTCCCATTCCCACAGAGCTGACTACTCACTTCCTTTCTGGAGAAAGGAGGCTACGCCCCAGTACTTCATCTTGAACTTGGCAGGGTCCTCGGTGTCTGTGAAGGTGCCCACCATGTCTGCGCACACGTCCCAGTTACTGCAAAAGCCAAGGGGATCCTCAGCCAAGCCGAGCGAGGGGCTTCCTCCCTCCCTCCACCCATCCGGTGCTCCCTTCCCTTCACAGTCCCCACGTGGCGATCAGCAGGCAGGGCTCCCGGAAGACCCTGGAGCACAAAGAGCACAGCTACCCCGGCGGCCACTGACTTCAAAAGACGGACTCGGCCCTTGGCCGTGGCGCTCATCTGGCCGGTCTCGTCCACGGAGAACTCGGCGACGATGTTGTCCTGCAGAAAGAGGCCCTCGGGGTCCTTCTTGGCCATGGCGTACCAGGTCCCGGAGAACTGCAAGAAGGATGAGAGCAGGGATTTGGTGTCTGGGGGCTCATGGCGGGCCGCGGGGAGGGCGGGGATGGGGGTGGGGACCCGGGCCGTCCGGGCCTCCCGGGCCGATCCGGGCTGATACCTACGCGAGCCTTGTCGAAGTTCTCCTTGACTCGGAAGCTGCTCACCCGGCAGTCGCGCTCCGCCCGGCTGCTGCCCAGCACCGCCAGCAGCAAGAGTGCCCACACCCACTTCATCTTGCCCAGAGTCCGCCCTGCGGGAGACGCGCCTCCGTCAGCGCCCAGCAGCCGACCCCCGGGCAGTGCATACCACCCCACCCCGCCCGACCCATCCCGCTGCCGCCCGGGAGGCCCCGGCCGCCGCTCACCACCGGGAGGAGAGCCGCGTGCAAGCCTGGCCGCCGCGTCCGGGCGCGCGTGGAGCTGGGGAGGCGAGCGCGCTGCGACCGCCCAGCTGCTTTATAGCGCCGGGGGGAGGGGGTCGCGCTTTCGTAACCACGCGGGGTGAAAGACCTAGGGGGAGGCGCCGGGGACACTTGCATAACGCGCCCTGACTCACCGGCGCCCGGGAGCGGGCAGGGTCCCGGTGGGCCGGCCTCATCTCCGGGGCAGCCCCAGGCGCGGTGGAGTGGCCGCGCGGGGTGGCCTCGGCCCGGCCAAATGCGCCAGCGGCCCTGGCTCAGTTACCCTGCACTCGTGCCAGCGGCCGCCAGCTGTGGTCTGGGGTGGCCTCCGGGGCTAGTGGCTTTGGCAGCAGGCTCAAGTCAACCTGGCGGGAAGACTGTGGCCTCACAGGGCGAGAGGGGACCGGCGAGGCTGCCTGGTGCGTGAGTGTCCAGACCCTGGCCGTGCCAGATTGGCCTCTCCGTCTGCCCTCTGAGGTCCACTTGTGCAGGAATTTTGGAATAATTCCTCCAAGTAGTTTTTCATTTTATAAAGGATGCATTTTACTCTCTTTCAGGAGAGTTGTGGTGCCCTCTGGTCAATATTTTTTCTTTAGTTTCAACATCTTTAGAAGCATTAAAACCCTCGCTGTTAAATACGCTCCAGAAATGCAACCCTGGTCAGAACAGGAAATATTTTAGCAGCCTCGGTGGTCGCCCACCTTACTCCGTGGTACTTCCCTGAAACCACTTTGAAAAACACCTACCAATTGTTTATGATGCAATTTGATTTCAAAGCCATATTGGAATTTTCGTTTGTTTTCAGAACAGCTAAGGTTGGCTGTTTTGTTGGCTAGGAGTGGACAAAGGAGAGAAGAGCAGACAAAGGAGAGAAGAGTAAGCAGCATTCTATACAATGTCAATGGCCAATTGAATCTAAACACTGCGACCAGTTTAGGTATTTTGCCTGTGTGATGGCACAATTTACTGACCCTGTTTTTCTCTTTCTGTTCAAAGTTAGGAGTTCCACTCATTTGATCAAAGCAATCAGTCAAAGGATGAGAATGACCGAATGAGAATTCACGATGTGGCAAAGAAGTAGCTCTTAAGAGTCCTTCCATACAATATCAGTTGTGTTTCCATGACCTAAATTGGAAAGGTTAGAGATCAATTTGGCCATTTTGGCTGCAGCCAGACCTGAAATAAGAGGAGATGGGGAAGAGGAAAGGTGGCAGCCAAATGGAAATAAGGATAGAGCATTGGGGCTACTTCTGAGCATCCTGAAAAGAAGACATCAGTGGCTTCCTTCCCACGTCGTTCTCCAGGTATTTCCCATCTTCCCCTTTACTCCTGCACCCATTTGGGTCCCAGCAGTGTCTGAGTGCCAACAATGGTGCATTGAACTCCTAATGCCCCAGAGCTAGGAAAGCCTGTTTCTGGACAACAAGCTAACTAGGTGATCTTCTGATTGGACCAGTTTTATGGAAGGCTGTGCAATCCCAAACAGGCAAATAAGTTCTGCTTCAGACCCACTCCTGCAGGACAGTATGGGGCATGGATCTATGCACCCTGTGTGGGAAAGGATGTAGGGCCCCTCTCTATCTCCCACCCAATGCTTAAATCCCCTCTTCAGCATTCCAGAGGAGAGGTCTTCCAGTTTTTGCTCCAAGTCCTTAAGCGACGGAGAGCTCCTAGCTTAGCCTAATTGCCTTTGGACAGTTATCCCTGCCAGAAACGTTCTCCTAATACCCCCTGGCCTTGCAGTCACTTCTCCTAGAACACATTCTTGTGCACACTATATGTTGAATACACATAGGGGAGTTCAGTGCATTTTCATGATAGTTTTGATGCAGCAACGTGTTTTTATTTATTTGTTGTGTGTTTAAAAGTTGTTTCAGAGTAAAAATTTGAGGTGAAAAAAGAAAAAAAAGTTGGTATAACCATTTCTCTGCCCCTCCTCTTTTAATGATAAATCCTGGACCTTAGTGTTCCAGATACCAGCAGAGAAAAACAGTTTATTTTGGCGTTCTTTCTAGGATTTCTTCATGATTACAAATAAGCAAATTCAGGTCAACTGATGTTCTTAACATCAGTACTTTGAAAAAGATCCTCATACATTAACTTTTCAAATATGTGAATGTGTAGTGTCAAAAAGAAAAATGTTCACAGTGAAAACCTCTGTGTGATAGGATTAGGGACATTGAAAGATTTTTCTTTGTGTCTTTCTGTATTTTTAGAGTTTTCTACTGTGAAAATGTTTAATCAGAAAATAAGACAAGTATTTCCTTTACAAATATTTTTCTTGCTCTTTTTTCTATAGGTAAAATTACGTTTTAAATTACATCTTATAGATCGTATATAATGTACACAAAATTTCATTCATTTCCTTGCCATGCTTCATGGAGAGACAGACCATGTTTCTTCATATTTGTATCTGTCCCCCCCTCCCCACTTTTCCATGGGGTATATCAAGAAGACTTGTTTGTAGGTGCTTAATCAATAGATATAATTTATTTTACTGAAATTAGTAACTCTATGCAAGCTCCATAAAACACTTATTTATTTATTTATTTATTTATTTAATTTTTTTTTTGAGACAGAGTCTTGCTCTGTTGCCTAGGCTGGAGGGCAGTGGTGCGATCTCGGCTCACTGCAACCTATGCCTCCCAGGTTGAAGCGATTCTCCTGCCTCGGCCTCCTGAGTAGCTGGGATTACAGGCGCAGTTTGGGAGGCTGAGATAGTGGATCACGAGGTCAGGAATTCAAGACCAGCCTGGCCAAGATGCTGACAACATTTATTTTTAAAAATCTGGTCAGAGTTCATGCTTCCTACCACATACGTTCTCAGGATTTAGTACTTGTAGCAGAGGTGGCTACGTGGCCTTTCACCGAAAGATTTGCAGTCCCCTTCCATGCTGTAAAGTTGGGGACTACATCAGCCAATCCCTGCCTTCCCTGTCCCCACTTCCTGAAGCCCTGTAAGTCCACGAGCCTTCTGGCCAGTGGAAGAGGCTGTGTCATTCCCAGGCAGGGCTCAGAAAAGCTGCCTGTTCGATTGTTCATGTCCTCTCCTTTCTTCTCTTATCTGCCAGGGTCCACACAGGTGACTGACTTTATGTGAACGAGAGATGAACTTCCACTGGATGAAGCTACTGAGATTTGAGGGATTACCTGTAACAGAAGTTGATGTTACCTTAACCTTAACAGCAGCAAACAAGTCCCTAACTCCTAAAAAAGATTGAAAAAGATTTTAATGCAAGACACTTATGTCTTTAACCAGTGAAAATTAAGCACTTCCAAACAGCTCCATTTTATACAAAGTAACATTTATACCCACATCCCGACATAGGCCAAGAAAAATGAAAAACAAGGAAATGGAGAACATTTATATTCTGACTGCATTTACAAGATGTCAAAATAATTGGTTGAAAAATGAAAAGGTTAGTCAGTCCATGTTTTCAGGTACAAAGAGATAAATTAATTTTTTAACACCGTATTGAGTGTTCTCAGTGGTCACAAAGTCATCAGTCCATTTCATCAATTTAGATAAAAACAATACGGTTTCACCAACCGAACTCTCTGAGACACCTGGTTATACCTATCAATTAAGTGCAGGCACAAGGCTCTCATGAGAGCAAACGTGCAGATAAAGTGTCCTGTGCAGTTGGCTGCCAGATGTGCCTGAATGGCTTTCCATGATGGGTAATTACAGGAACAGAGAATCTGGCTAAGGCGGAACTAAAGAGTGGGTTCAGTATAATGATGTGAAATACACTGAATTAACCCAGGATATTGTTGATTTTTGTGTTGGTGCTTCTACCTCATAGGCATATGTTTTGGCTGTTGTATAAGCGTAACTTCCTGTAGAAATCATTAACTGCAGTGAAAAATTTTAACAATGATGGAATTTAAAATTACATGTGCTCATTTATAGAGAGTACTACTGAAAACCTGTTTGCACAGAAAGTTTAGGGAAGTTAAATCATTCTTTGGTAGATTTTTAAACAGATTGTCTGGGATTTTTATTTCACTCTTGTATTAGTATTTAACATTTTATGATATTTTTCTAGATTTTGAAATCTTCAGAGAGTCTTTGTATATTTCCTTGTAGCATCGAGTACAATGTCTAGTTCACCTCATAGGCACACTTTTTAATTTAGCCACATTTAAACTGGTAGTTTTAGAATAGATTACTATCATTTGCTGGCTGTGATCTTGGGAAAGTTAACTTAATTTCTCGGTGCTTCAATTTCTCACCTGCAAAATAATAATAGTGCCTACCTCATAAGAGTATTGTAACAATTAAATGAGATACTATATGTAAGGATCGTTGGAGGGTATCTGTCACAGAGTATATTTTTTGTATGTCATCTATTCTTATAATCTTTTTATTTTTACCAGGTGATTTATGTTTCTGAAAAAATTCTCTGTAAATGGAATGGAGTTTTCACATTAACTTAGTTATCATTTCAGAGTTTATCTAAATAAATTTATTGTCATTAAAAAATCTTAGTATCTAAGATCTTGACTTTTTCCCTCATTTTCTCTGTCATTTAATATTCTATCTAAAAAACTCAACAACAAACCTATGCTTTGAATGAACCAGAAGCACTGATATAAAAATTAAACAGTGAAGTAAACAACTATTTTGTCATGTTAAAATTTATTCTAAGTGATCTGTTTGGTAATTTTAAATTTTAAGATATGTCATTTTCCGTCCTATTTGACAAATGGTGCTGGGGAAATTGGCTAACTATATGCAGAAGAATGAAACTTGACCCCTACCTCTCACCATCTACAAACACTGATTCAAGATGGATTAAAGACTTGAATGTAAGACATCAAACTATAAAAATCCTAGAAGAAAGCCTAGGAAATACTCTTCTGAACATCAGCATAGGCAAAGAATTTATGAGTAAATCCTCAAAAGAAAACACAACAAAAACAAAAATCGACAAGTGGGACCTAATTAAACCAAAGAGTTTCTGCCCAGCAAAAGACACTACCAACAGAGTAAACAGACACTCTACGAAATGGGAGAAAATATTAGCAAACCCTGCATCTGACAAAAGACTAATATCCAGAATTTATAAGGAACTTAAACAAATCAACAAGAAGAAAACAAACAACCCCATTAAAAAGTGGGCAAAGGACAGGAACAGAGATTTCTCAAAAGAAGACATACAGGCAGTCAACAAACATGAAAAAATGCTCAACATCACTAATCATTAGGTAAATGCAAATCAAAACCACCCTCTCACACCAGACAGTATGATTATTATTAAAAAGTCAAAAAATAACAGATGTTGGCAAGGTTGTGGAG